CCCCAGAAAGGTCAATGACAGAGCATTTGCAGACGACTAGTTTTGCTTCCAAGAGTCTTGACAGGATTCTTACATCAACATAGCTCGACCCATCTGAGTTGGGAAATGGGAAATGAGACAAACAAGCAGAAGAACGGAAGTATGAACTAGAATCTGTTTATATGGGAGTTACGAAGCAGCATTACCTGCTTGTTCGATTCCACCCTGCAATTTCTTTGTGATTTCCATTTCCGTCTCTTTTTCTTGTTTCATGATCTGTTGTAGCTTTCCATACAGGGTATAGCCACTGCATATCGATGTAACAAAAAGGGCTTTGATTTAATTGATATGTGTGGTTTTAATTTTAGAGCCTGAAAGGTGTTGAGAGTTTGATTACCCAGGTAATTTAGGTGAACCGATCAAGAGACCTTCCTTGCTCAAAGAAGAAGCTTTTATTGCCTCATCAAATCGGTCTCCAACAAATTGTTTCTTCTGGTTGGGAATATTTGGCACTGCGCTTTGACTAGGCTATAAAGTAGGGGAACAATATTAGCTGGATTGTAGACTTAGAAGATGTTATCCAAATCATATATAAGCGAGGCAGAGAACGAAACCTCATCATCAGTGGATGATCCACAATCCATAGGTCCAGGAAGTTCATCATCAGTGCCATTATCTTGTAAGATTGATGAACTTCCCTTATGAGCAAATTTCCAACTTTTTCCTTTGCGTCTGCAATACTGAAGCAGGGAGGATATGCCAATGATTGAAACAGGGAACCGAGCAAACCAATTGCTGAATCAACTGAAGAAGCAAAATTACCGGTTTAGAGCTTCTTTTTGCAACTCTAATCTTATCTGTAGGAATGTCTAAAAGCTTGGATATCGCTTCCTCAATGCACCCGTTCCGAACCTCAATAGCCATATCAGTAATACCCTGTCGGTTTTCTGATATTTCATCAAAATCATGGTAGCATTCAGCTATCGGATCCTCCTCAATGGCCATGTCAGCAGCAGGCTCCTCTAAGTGTTCAGTCATATCACATATCTTGGAAGACGTTTCTCCATGAGTGTGTGAGTGAAATGAAAATTTTGGTCTTACATGGTCTTTGACAACTGCAAAAACATTTATGCTCACATGATCTGTTTCTCTGAGTTTTCATTTGTGCTACACTCATCAAATTTTAGGGTACAAATCTAAAAGACAAATTTTGGATAAAACAGTACCTTTACTACCTCTCTTAGTTCTAAAACCAGCTGAATGGGACGATGAGATAGAAACAACACCATTCAAATGGATCAATGACTCGGTTTCTTTACTTATAGTGGACCAAGTAGCCACTGGTTCATCCTGTAGAACCTGTTATGCAAATGTAATCATCACCAGAGTATAAATTGGTACCGAGTGACAACAAAATATGTTCGACAAGATATTGGATGGTAACCTCATCATCTGACAAACTTTCCTGAGCAGATATGCATGTTAATTCAGCTTTTCTCTCCGAAGCAGAATTACTCTCTTCTAGGGAATCAGGAACTACAACGTCATCCTCAAGAGAGGATGAGATCTTCTGTAACTAAGAATAAAATCTCTTATCAACAATTTGGTTCCATAACATTCCTCGACAAAGCTGCAGAAACAAATTTTAATACGAAAAGGACTCACAGTTGATACAAGAGATACATCGCCATCTTCCACAGCATAATCTTGTTCACCACAACCTGGTAATAGCACAGAAGCTCTTTGTGAAACTTAAACTGAAGTTGAAGATAGTCATATAGAAGGCTGATTGAACAATATATATATACCTATGAGTTTTTCGAGCTTTGTTTGAAGTAGTAATCCTTCCTAAAATATTGAAGCCAACTATGGTCAAACTACAATTCAATTCACTATAGCTCATCAAAGCTACTCAATCCACAACAATCAAGTGTGCAAAATCAGATTTATCACCAAAAATTAAAAGTTCCCAAGTTCTTTCTCAAATCAGATCAATACACAGTAGGGAAACCCAGATTTTGTTGAAGATAACTTCTCACCATCCCACCATCATACGCAATTCGCAGGATTACCTAGATCGATTCAAGCAAGCTTAAACATTACCTCTTCCTTCGCCTTCGCACTTGGCCACACATCATTTTCTCCCAAACTAACATCGACATGCTCTTCCTCTTCCTCTGAAAGACCAAGCAGCAGCTTCAGAATCACTCGTTACACAGCGAACACACATAAAAACTAAGATCCAAACGCAAAATTTCTCAGTACTCACCAGATATGCTCTGATCAGAATCTGGATTTCCCTGAAAAGCAAAAGGGAAAATCAACTAAATGTCCGATAAGAAGAATCCGCAAAAGTAAACAATTCACAAAGATGTAGTACAGTCACCGGTAAGTTAATTCGCCGCCACATTCGTCCTCACCGTTCAAATCGATCTCGCCGGTGTTCGCCTTTGTACCGGAGTTGCCGAGTCTATGCTTGGGATATGGGCCCTTGTCCGAGCTCACTTTATTTTTATTGATTTATTATTGGGCTTTAATTGGCCCAATTTAATAAAACACTGCAACATTTTAAAATTTGTTTTTATATCCCAACTTTTGGAATTAATTAGAAATCGTTCCACAACTCCTCAATTCACATTCTAGCCCCAATAGTGTACTAATATTTTTTAATAGTTACAAAACAAGAGTCTTTAATAAGCAAATTTTAGACTTTTTAGTATGTTGACAAAAAATTCATTGTAAATCCCAATTCCAAGTATTAATTTGGGAATACAATTAAAACATTATTCATTTCTTAAAAAAGCTCAATATTTAAATACTTGCGTCTTGGCCCAAGTGCTAGTGCTATTATAGAAAAAAATATTTATTATTAAGGACCCAAAGCTTACATAACACGCTCCACAGCAGATCCGCTGCACCACTACTTAATCTCTGAACAATACCACTACTCGGAAGATCGAACGGGCAGAAATTAATGATTTATAAGATGTACCGTAGTCATCGAAGCATCTGATAAATCCGAAAATTTAAGCTCGAAACGCTAAGAGTCTAGAGCGCGCAAATTTTGAAAT